AAGCAACTGAGTTTAAAAACCATGAACAAGATCCAGAGAATTGAATAGCTATGGCTATAACGCAAGAATACTATATAGTAACATCTTCCTCTACACACATACACACAAATAATCACCTTTAAAAGTTATTTTTGACACAAACATATGTGCATTACAAATCTGAACTGATTGTATAGTTTTGTTAGCAAAAAATCCTGTATACACGTTTATGAAAGCGTCCACAACCCAGACATATAGGAATATTTTCCAAGTAAATAGTATCAATCAATATGATACTATGGGCAATTTATACTATTGTTTTATACCTTTAGCATATGTCTGAAAGAAAACAGGTAAGAAAAAGCTGCTCTTACCACACACACACACACACACACACACATCTAAGAAAATGCAAAGACTTCATTTCAAAACTGCATAGTTGTTTTCTTAGAATTTATTTCCAAGACAAAATATAATGGCATGAAGCACCCAATCAGGAATGCAAAAAGGATTAATAAACCAGGTATGTGATTTATTTAATTATTAATGAAGGCTTCCAGCATTAGTTCTGGTTGTCATGGCAACTAGGGTTGCCGCTAGCTTCCAGAAAACATAAAAGAACAGCAAGTGCAAGGCCGCACATTCCATTTAGTCTTGCTGATTAGCCAGGCTGTCAAAAGAAAGGAAGGGAAATCAACAGAAAACAAGAGCTACAAAGAGAAGAAACATACATTGAAACTTCTCACAAGCTGCAAATGTAAGTACTCTTTATATTCCCAAAAAGTGAACATTGGTTATTTCAAAAAGAGAGGAGACAACTGACTTGTGTTAAGAAATAAGCAGTTCCACCTCAGCAGCATTGCATCACAGTAAACCAGAAACTGCTGTTTGTCAGTGGAAATGTAATTCTAAATCTTGAGTTTTGTGCTGCTTTACTATGAAAAGATTTATAAAGTCTTCTGAACAAGAAGAGGCTTCTTTCACTTCCATATGTAAAGCCTTGTAAAATAAATAGCAGTCCAGAAGTACTGCTGTAGGATGTATATATGGTTGCTTAAGATGATTTATAGAAACAAAAACCTGTATCCCATCACCTCTATCCTGCAGTCAACTGCCCTCCCCCCAAAAAATAGCTTTTTGAAATGCTATGGGATATGGACAAAGGCTGCTGGAAGAAGAGTAAATGGGAGACATTTTTCCATTAACTTCCTTAGCAGTCTTCTACAGATTTAGCCAGAGAGAACTTTCCTCTGTTCAGCTGAGATCAGTCACAGGCTGCTGGGTACCAAACTATAGTTATCTGAGGTTCTAACGTGTCTCGTTTTATCCTTGAGGAACCTGCCATATCATATCTCACCTTGTTTAGAAAATCCCATCCCGGTTTGTAGAAGCACAAGTGTAAAAGAGGATCCCCCTAATAAAATAGTAGGATTGTGGATTGTTTCACTTATACAGCTTCCAGCTCTATGTAATATAGTCAACGATGCTATTCTATGCAATTATTTGGCTCGGAAATTACTGTAATTAAAATTAATATTTTATAAAAAAATTGAAAAACTACTGAATTGATTGTAAAGACTAGAGTTTCTAAAATATTTATCTGGAAGAAAGTCCCTTTGAACTCAGTAAGACCTATCATGGATTAATTTGGACTGCTTTCAACAACATAAGCTTTAAGTAGGGTTGTGATATTTTTTTCTGTCTATCTAATGTATTAAGATAATAAGAGTAAAAATAAAGTTGGTACCCTGTTAAGTGTGCCCTGAATACATGATAAAAGGCAGATATATTATGCAATACATATACTGTTTTCTATGGTATGATTGAATGGACACAAGTATCACAATGAAACAAAATAAATTATGTAAGAATTATTGATACCATATTCCGGTTTTAAAACATTTTTAATGTTGCTTCTCTTGAATTACTTGAAAACTGGTAAATAAATTATTCCAACAACATAAAAGCAAAAGCAAAGTAAAACTGAAATATATTCCAATTGATTGCAGAACAGAAGAAATTTCCAACGAGATTCAGAGTGCTGATTTTGACTTTTCAAAACTTTTTCTTACATGCCGCAGTGAAGTTATATTGATGAAAATTGGTTATGCTCGTTAAAGCCACAACTACAAATACTTATAGCTACCAGATTTGGGGCGGGGGAAGGAACAGGAAGGGAGGTTTTCTTTGTCTGCAGATAAATGACTTGACAAATTACTAAGGATGCTGTTTCTTGCCCAAATTAAGTTGGCCTATGTTACAAATATACAAAGAACCCAAATGTGGGATTTCAAACTTTGATGAGGTTCCTATGAGAATAGCTGCTATTCATGAGAATAGCAGAGCTCAATTCATGGAATACGCCAAAATTTGGGATTAAATTTGAATACAGTTACTGTATTTTGATATAAATGGTATTTAATATAATTAAATTGTGAAAAGGTCAGTTCAGTTGCAGTATTTTTCAACACACAGAAACTCTGTACCTACTAATTTAAATTTTTATTTCACTGATCTTCTGAAATGAATATTTAAGATTTATATTTGTTGGCATCAGCAATCAACCCTACACCAAGACATTTTTAAAACTTGTGTTATAAAAATATATTTTAAGGCCTATTGAAGGACACCTTGTTATGTATTCCACTTCAATGTACAATACTTAAGTTGCCACATTTGCAACATGCCTTTCAGAGATTACAATTTCCTGGCATTTTATATTAAATGTTTTAATTTTGAATATCTAACTTGCTCAATCTCAGCTTGAAAGTCTTCCAGTATCAGCACAAATATTTCGTAGGAGTGACAGGCTGCTATGATACCAAATGCTTGGATAAAACAAACATTGGCAATGTGATCACCCATTGGCATTTGCAAGTTTATTTAAAAGAAAACTAATTCCCGGAACTAAATATGAGGCTTATTTTTTTTCCTATATATCTTATCTAATTTTTAAAAGAATGTTATTTTAAAATGTTTTTAAGCATAATAACTCTATTGTGTAATTAAACTATGACTTAAGCATATATATTGAAAAGCATAGCTATGATTGCATAATGTTTTTAAAAAACAGCATTGTCACTATGATATAGAGGTGGACAATAGTGTACAGAAAATGAAGAGAATACTTTTAAATGAATCAAAAACATTTTACTCTTCCCCTGCAGGTCATAGAGGAGTGCTAGAGGTCAGTGTAGTTAAGAAGGGTGCATGGGGAGGGTTGCAGGAGTGTGTGAGAAGTGCTGACTGGCTTCGGGACAGCATGCATGGAATGCAAGTCGGGAAAGGTGCCATGTAGAATTGTAGATCATGGAAGGCGCACAGGAGGGAAGATATGGATTGAGGAAGTGCTGCACAGCAGGGGTGGGATTCAATTTTTTTTTACTACAAGTTCTGTGGGCGTGGCTTGGTGGGCATGGCAGGGGAAGAATGTTGTAAACTCACCAGTCAGAGGTGGTATTTGCTGGTTCTCCAAACTACTCAAAATTTCAGCTATCGGTTCTCCAGAATTGGTCAGAACTTGCTGAATACCACTTCTGCTACACAGGCTGGGGAAGTCACAAGGGGGCAGTGCAAGAAAGGGAAGCTAAATGGGGTGCGCATGATGTTCTGCTCATATTGGACAAGGCACACGGGTGACAGCATGGACCAGGAAGAGTGCACAGGTGTTCCTTCTTCCTTGTTCCTCTGTTCCTTCCTTCCTTTTTCCTATTCCATCCTTTCCTTTCCTCCATTTCCATTGCCAGAAGACAGGTGAGTGGCTGCTGCTAGCTGGGAAAGTGAAGGATTGCACGAGTGACTGGAAAATTGTCACAGAAAGTTGAAGACCACATGACTACAGCAGCAGCCTGACAGCACTGAAGCAGCAGCAACCAAGTGGTAGTGAAATTGCCACAACTTTCTCAAATTTCATTCTCTCAGGAGTCCCAGTATTCTGTAACTTAAGGCATGTCAGGTTAAGTAGGTAACATGCAGGGCATCAGTAAAGACTCCTGAGCACACTTGGGGGCATATAGCCACCAAATTGTCTTTCTCAATTTAGAATATTTGCTGTGTGAACAGAAAATGTAATTTTTTTGGTAAACAGAGTTTGAATACTTGCAGATTTAGAATATAAGTCCTCTTCATAGAAGCCAGCTTGTAAATGGGTATTGTTTCCTGTAAGTATGGTACTTTGGTCAGCAAAAAATTGGAAATATATGGGATGCTGCTTGTTTGGAATGAGACTGAAGATGGTGACCTTCAATCTCAACTCCCTTTTAAATTATCTATACAAAGTGTACAAAAGAGCTGCAAAATCTGCCTGCATAAACAACGAGCGTCTATCTCATGAAAGTTTTTGGATCAGCAGCCATCCATAAGTGGAAGATTACCCTCTTTGAAAAATAATTGTAATGGGAACAAGTTCTGATTACTAGAAATTTGACTGCAGAGGAAAAACACAATTCCAAATATTTCAATCAAAAACTATAGATCAGGGATGTCACTGCTGTCTTAATTCAATCACAAATTTTTCAGTCACATAACTTTTCCAAGAATACATTGAAAATAAGGTAACAGAATGTTGATACTGTTTTATTTTAGAAAATGGTTGGATGTGGGTTACTTCTTTATTTTTAAAAAACTGCAGTGTAGATAACTTGTCATTTTTTTTCCTGGAAGGCTTTCTGTTTTCTAATGCAACTGAAATGGGCTGGAGAATTCTATAAGTCACCAGCCTGTGAGAAAATCAGTGCAACTACCATGCTATTGATGCAAAACTGATGCCTACAGTAGCGTTCACTGTCCCTTGCTCTGGGTCTGAAGTTATCTTATGCAGACCCTTTGAAGATTACATCTTTACTAACTGTAATTTTTTTTTCTTCTACTGTTTTTAATGCATTATCTTTTCTTACATCCTGCCAATCTGGAATGGAGTAGCATAGAAATCTTAGTATAATAAATAAACAAAGCTTATTTGTTTTTCAGGTCCGCTGAAGTGGCCGCATATGGCCTTGATGCTTATGTAAGACATGTTTCACTATAAAAGAAAGTCTCTGTACATCTCTGAGCATTACCAGGCAAACAAATATGCACCAAGCTGAACCTCAAGGAAAGTTCTGGAAAATTGGTTCCAGGCACATCTTTCATCTGATTATTATGTTTAAGCCTGCAAGAGAGTTATACTGAAACCTATGAGGAAGGAATACAGTTCTGCATTCATACTTGGACATATCCAACATTTTTTATCCCTTCAAAGATCTTATGAATTAGATCATTCTTTCCCTCAAATTTACAAAAGAAGAAATGAGACTAGAAACAGTCCCAATGGAAGCAGAAACCAAAAAATGAGAAAATTCCAAAAAAAGAAAGAAGAATTTCAGCCTGGGTTTAATCCATTTATGTGCTGTAAAGAGGGTAGAATATTTTCCAAGAATTATTGATCCCAACTCTCAACCATTTTATTGTGCCCCCACTTATAAACAGATGTTGTAGAAATCTTTGGGGCAAAACCTGTTTTCTGAATGAAATGTCCCCTCCACTGATTTAAGTAAGTGCGGGTCCTAGAGCTATTAGCTCCATAAGAATTATGGCTTTTTCAGCCCACAGGAATAATCTTTTTTTGATTGGTCTGTTAAGCTTCTGTGTTGATAGTTCTGTGTGCAGTGAAAAAAATAATACACTTTTTTTTACCAAAGAAAATACAATTCGAAAGTGCATGTGCCCTGATAGTATTAATGACTGTGATTATAGCTTAGCAAATCTAATTTGTAACTGTATGACTGTTTTGCCCTACACAGCAGACAAAACCTACTATAATAATTTGGTAATTTGGTTCACTGAAACTAATATGTTGAGAATCCTGTTAAAAGTTACATCAGTGCACAATCTAAAACTCTCACTTTGTGGCACTATTCCTTTGACAACAAAATATTTGACCATTTGGGGATTACAAAAATTACAGATAAGAAGCGAGAATAATGGCCAATTAAAACAGCAAAGTTTAACAATCTCTACTAGCTGTGACAATGGAGCCCAAAACAAGTTGATATCATACAAAGACAAAAGCATGATTACTCATGTTGCTGTTTTAGACACATCTCTTTTCAATGACAGTGGCCCATTGAAAGCATACAGTGTAGAAAATATTTCTAACATTTCAAACCAGTTTCCATATTTGGACAATTTTTTTATTCCAAGTAACAAAAGTTGTATCATAACATTCATTTATTAAAACACAACTCTTGGCCATTTCTATAATGTAAACATTATAAATTGGGTCATCCTGAGATATTGTAGAAAGTAAACTTCTGTTGCTCTTTATATTACAAATAACAACAACAACAACAGGGAGTTGAATAAACTTTAGTCCTAATAGCTCCTATTTCAATATAATTTACAGAATGCTATAGAATATTCCAGCTTAATTCAATCCCAGAATCAAGCCTTTAACTCTGATAAACAATAATTGTTCAATCCATGTTATACAAAAAATGTTGTCTAATTTGTTCCATATAGGCATATGGGGGATAATATTTAAATTCTTCTGAGAAATGTAGCATTTCTGATAGTTTGTATGTGTACCTTGGGAGTTGATGTTGACGTCTGGCCGTTACTCTGAACAAGTCCCTATAGTTTTCTAGGCAAAATTTTGGAAGTGATTTGCCATTGCCTTCTTCCTAGGACTGAAAGAGTGACTGACCCAAAGTCACCCAGCCTTGGTGACTTTTGGGATCCTTTGTGTCCAAGGTCAGATTAGAATTCATACTGTTCCAATTTCTAGCCTGATGCCTTTAATCACAAAATTGGCGCTCTATTTTTATACTGGCCAGAAAATAAATTCAAGTATGTGTGTACACACACACAATATACAATATATTTGATAGTAATTCCTAGCAAGTATCCTAGTCCTGGAAAAAATATTCTAATTCTGGAAAACACCTTTGATAAATCAGGCAAGACTGAAAGGAAACCATCTAAAGATAATTACCCTGATCTAATAAATCCTTTAAATTAAAGAATAATATCCCTAAAATGTTTTTTTTAAGTCTAGATTTCAAAATTTCAGCAGGTTTCATTGTACACTTTACAGAAAATGGTCCTTATACAAGTAATTAGGGAGAAACCAGTCATATGTTTCCATGTATGCATGGAGTGATTGTAGCTGTATTTAGGAGTCTCACAGCCCATGGATAAAAGCTGTTTTTAAACCTATTTGTCTGGCTGGCTATACTTCTGTGTCTTCTGCCTGATGGTAAAAATGAGAAAAGACACTGACCAGGATGTGAATCATCCCTAAGTATTTTCCTTACTCTGCTGAAGCAATGAGACTTGGCTATGTCGTCCAGTGATGTTAGGGGGCAACCAATGGTTTCTTGTGCCAAATTTATCACTCTCTGTAGTGCCTTCCTGTCCGCAGCTGTTGAACCAGCGTACCATACTGTTATACAGTATGTGAGGACACTTTCTATTGTAGACCGATAGAAAAAGGTCATCAGCCGTTCTTCCACCTGATTTTTCTGCAGGACTCTAAGGAAATGAAGTCTCTGTTGAGCCTTCCTAACCACCAGGGATGAGTTGTATTTCCAGGTGAGGTCTTGACTAATAAGCACTCTCAAGAATTTAAAAGAGGAAACCCCTCCACAGCCCCCTTTGATATACAGTGGGGCAAGTTGCTCTCTGTGTTTCCAGAAATCCAGCACCATCTCCTAAGGTGTTCATAACTTATATTTCCCAGAAAAATGTCAAGAACTAATGGATTAGGATCTATGTCGTTGACTCAACAGCAGAAACTATAGAGCAGGTTGTCCAATTCCCGGCCCACGGGCCAGATGCGTTATGTGCTGGCCACATCCATGCCCGGATTAGTGAAGGGGGAAAAAGTCCTGATACATCACATGATGCTGCCGTGACATGAGTTTGACATCCCTGCTATTGAGGGATCTTGGAATCGTAGTGGATAATCACTTAAATATGAGCCGGCAGTGTGTGGTAGCCACCAAAAAAGCCAGTGCAATCCTAGATTACATTAATAGACAGATAGAATCAAGATCATATGAAACGTTAGTACTGCTATATAAGGCTTTGGTAAGACCACACTTGGAATGCTGCATCTAATTTTGGTCACCACAATATAAAAAGAGTGTCCAGTTGAGACTCTGGAAAGAGGGCAGAGAAAAAGAACAAGATGATTAGGGGGCTGGAGGCTAAAACATAAACAGTTGGAGGAATTGGGTAGCCTAGTGAAAAGAAGGACTATGACATGATACCAGTGTTCCAATATTTGAGGGGCTGCCACGAAGAAGAGAGGGTCAACCTATTTTCCAAAGCACCAGAAGGCAAGACAAAAAGCAATGGATGGAAACCTAATCAAGGAAAGAAACAACCCAAACATAAGGAGAAATTTTCTGATAGAGAACAATAAAGCAGTGGAATGGCTTGCCTTCAGAAGTTGTGGGTGCTCCATCACTGAGGCTTTTAAAAAGAGATTGGATAGCCATTTGCTGAAATTGTATTGAGTGGAGGATTGAAGTAGAAGACCTCCCAGGTCCCTTCCAACTGTTATTCTGTCTTAATGCATTACATTCAAATGTTATTGTATTGATTACAGATAGAAGCACAGAGAAAACAATCCTACTTTAGAATTAAGAATAAATTTTGAATTATGATTTAGATATGCAATGAACTGAACACTAGAAATTGCATTTTATACCACCAATTCTTCAACAATAATGTAAAGAAATAAAATGTGCAATGTTATTAGAAAAAGGTTTAATGTTTTTAATCATCATCAATTGTGAATGATTGTTTTTTAACTTTGTTGTACACTGCCCAGAGTCACTTCTTTTGCGAGATGGACACCTACATAAATTTGAAAAATAAATAAACACCAAAGAAGCATTCCATACCCTGCCAAATTTTTAAAGATGGGATGCCTTAAACTCACTTTATGTGATATAGTGTACTTTAGTGATATGCATAGGTAAAAATTCAATGTTTGTGTATAACATGAACAGGTGAATTGTATTACCATGATTAAGTGTACATGTGTGTCATATTTGACAGATTTATTAACTGTACTGTATGTAAAGGGGTTTGTTAATATGTTACATGAATGATTGAGGACATTAGAAATATCAATCTCGCAGAAAGGAAATATTTTAAAAACAACAAAACTAAACATCAAGGTTTCTTCCAATTGTATGATTTAAGAATTTTCTTTTAATTCCACTAACCTAGCAATATTCGTTGAGATATTTTTTACAATCCTAAACACAGTAAAAAGTGAATGATCAAATTTCCAATTATTCCCATGGATTATTTTATCCATACATTCTTCTCTCCCCCCATTATATTGTTGTTAATTCTGATATTTGATATAATATTTGTACAGTATTAATAAAATTGACAGATTGTTTAAAAACTTAGACTATTGGAAATAAAAATCAATATTATACACATATTTTTGTCTTCATAAAAAATTTAGGATATTAGGAAAAAATGGCTGATTACATCAAAGTATTTATTGTACAATGAAAGTTTCAGTTTTGAGCTGATTACTTAGTACTGAAATTTCCATTGTATGATTGCTACATACTGTATGTATATGTCTTTGGGTATGTCTGTGTATATGTCTGTGTATGTGTATATAGAAAAAAGTAAAGAAAAATACTGTAGATAAGCAATACCAATTTAACAGGAATGAAAAAACCTTATTTTTTTTTTAAAGGAAAATAGAAAAAAAGCTATTAGGTTTCTAACTATTCATCAGTTCAATTCCCACCAGCTCAAGGTTGACTCAGCGTTCCATCCTTCTGAGGTTGGTAAAATGAGGACCCTGATTAGTGGGGGCAATATGCTGACTCTAAACAGTTTAGAGAGGGCTGTAAAGCACTGTGAAGCGGTATATATAAGTCTAAGTGCTATTGCTATTCACTTTTTGTAGATATGCTAATTTATAATATTGTAGATATTAGTAGCCATACTGCGTTTCTATTTGACATCCTGTGTGCTGTATTGTATATATGGGAACCATTCTTGCTTAAATTTGATTAAACCTCTATTGTGTATGTATATTAGTTTTGCAGCATATTTTCAAAATTTAAGCTCCCAATCGATAAAAATATTCCCAATCAGATATTGTCATTACTATATTTTTCTTCCAATGTTATGCAAAATTTATTTTTGTTGCTGTAACCATGTATCTCACTGTTTCTTGCTGATTTTTTTCTGAGATTATATCTAGTAAAAAAAAGGTAATTTCATTACAAATTTAAATTCCAAAATGTTCTGCATTGTACTCTGTATATCTTTCTAGTTGTTTGGGATTATTTTACATGTCCAGCGCATGTAATAAAGAGTTCCTTCTATTTCATAGCATTTCAAGCATTTGTTGTAGTATGATCTGTCTCTCAGGTACTATTGAGAGTTGTATATTATCTGAAAATATTTTGTACCAATTTTCCTTTAAGTTATAATTCGGTGTATATTTTATAGTCAATAATTCAATAATTATTGAATTAATAATAAGTCAATAATCAACTTATTAATAAGTCAATAATTCTTCCCATTCTTGTGTCGTAACTATTCGTTAAAAATTGAATTCATTTTATCATACAGTTTCATTATATTTTCAATTGCCATTCTAAATGTTTTAATAATATCCATTATTTAAACGTTTTAATAATATCCATTGATTTTTCTTGGGTTGCTTGTGGGATTTAACTACATTGTATGAAATTGTTTCTCAGACAAAGATTTTATTTATACTGCATAAAAATCTTATCTGATTGCTAAATCTCTTATATTATGCTACTCTGTTAAGGTCAAATAGCAGAATAATCAGCAACTAAGATTCTGCTGCCCCCTAGTAATAAAAAAGCAGGGTTCCAAATATTATTAAAGACGTGAAAAAGCTATAATATGAATGAGAAACAGCAATTTATTTGTTTTAAAAATGAACTGTACAACAAACTATTCCTCACTGCATTTAATATTGGGTAACATGATACAATAAATAATGAAAAACAGTTTGTTTTTCATAGAAAAGCACCAGAGCATATTGTAATGCATCTGTAAATTATTCTATTGAGAGTTTTATCTTTAATCAGATAGGACTGTGACTATTCTTTATCTTCTTTTTTGTTTTCTTTTGCTAGCATGCCAGGTGTAACTTAAAACAATGATTCATGGCCTTACCAGCATGCAATTAGATAATAGCTATGCACATGATATTGTTTCTCCTTATTGTGTCGTACATATTCTTTTATATTCATTAGTTTGTCATGATGTATGCATAAATCATGTAGTAGAAATAAGTGGATTTTTTTTCTTAAGGATACAGCACATAATTACAATTCTCATTCATTTTGGGATATCAAAACAACACAATCATTTTTCCTGTACTCATCCATCTTCTCAATTCTCAATCTCCATAGGGCTGAGACAACTGAGTGGGATGTCTGGTTGGGACAACTGATTCAAAGGTAACTCCCCACCAAACAAATAGTATATTATAAAATTTTAATATAACCTATTGTTGCAAAGAGATTTCATTAAATTTGACGTTACACCATCTGCGTTACAAAATTGATGTGTTGCAAAACTGTTGCAGCAAAAACTTGATATACCAAATATGCCATTGATTTAATGAACATTACTCAGTTAAATGACAATGAAGTCAAAACCAAATTTTATCAGCTCTAACAAGTCCATTAAGCCAAGATTTTAGTGTATTTTGTTCCCAGTGATTTGTAAAATCCCTTGCTGTTTGCCCGGAAATATATTGTATGTTATTTAGCTTATTAAACCAAACGATATTTCGAAAATCTCCCAAGTTTTGTTTTTTCCCCACCTTTCCTATTACCTATTCCTATTAGTATCTTTTCACTATCATTTGTTGGTTGTATCTTAGGACGTGTGGTTGTATCTTATGATTTATGTATGAATTGTCAATCACTTTGTTGCTTATGTACCGGAGATAAATTCCTTGGGTGTCCAATCACACTTGGCCAATAAAGAATATTCTATTCTATTTTTCATTTCGTTATTAATACAAGACTAATCGATCGATCACAACGGCAACTTCGCCACCCTTCGGACATTTCTATACACTGGTGACTTTCCCGCCCTTCCACACCCGTTACCAAGGGGCCATTCACGTCACAGGCCTTCCTCCCCTTTCCTCACCTACGTCTTTTTTTTCCAGTCCCAAAATGGCCGACTTCTTCAATTACCCTCTCGGCGGTGACTCTTGCCTCAATCTATGGTCTAACGAGGCGCTCTAGTCAACAAGGCGAACTCGACTGCAGACCCCTGTCTGATATTTCTGCCTCTGCCCATGACATCAAAGAGAAAAATTGTCAAATGTGGCGGTGTACGGTAGAGGGCGCTATGATGACTCGTAGGCCGTGACGCTGCTCTTGCTGCAGCAACGGGGAGGGAGCGAGGAGTGACTCGCAGCGTGCGCGCTCTCGGTGCCGTTGCGGTACTTGGTGTTTTCGCGCTTGTCTCCCCCCCCCCCCCCCTCCCCACGATTCTTCTTCAAACCTTCCCGCAACGGCGGCGGTTTGTTGAAGAAGAATGTTCCGCAAGGCACGGCGCGTGAATGTGCGGAAGCGGAACGAGTCCGAGGACGACGACGAAGAGCGAGATGAAGCGTTACCGTCGCAGCTGCTGCCGCCGCCGCCGCCGCCGCCAGGAGGTGATGGGCCTGCGGCAGAGCCTGAGCTGCCAGCCCCTAAGCCCCCGCTGCTGCCTCTTCCGATCGGTTGCGTCCCTCTGGTCTCCCCCTCCTCCTCCTCCTCCGCCCCCTCCTCCGGCGGAGGCTTCGCTTTTAGCAGCGCTGAGGTGATGGGCCGGGGAGGCCCCAATTTGCCGGGCCCGGAATTGCAGCCGCCGCCGCAACCCCCGATTGCGCTTGTCCCTCTCCCGCCGCCGCCGCCGCCTTCGCAGCAGCTGCCATTGGGAAACAACGGGCACGTGCCTGCGGTTTCTAAGCCGAAGGAGCGGAAAAGGGGCAAAGAATCGGGAGCCCCGCCTGGGATGCCCCGCGGAAGCCGCAACCTGCTCAGCTTCCAGGATGAGGAAGAGGGTAAGCACGCGTCGAGCCGGCTTTCTTTTGCAGGAGCTCTTTTTCTTTTGTCCTCCGGGGCCTGGTGCGTCGGTTTTTTTTTCTCTCCCTCGCCCTGCACCCGGCAAACAGGCGCTTATGCTGGTCACGTTCAAGCTCGACCAGCTCGTTATTCAGAGGTACAGGTAGTCCTCGACTTACAACCGTTCATTTATACAACGGCACTAAAACAAGTGACTTATGACCGTTTTCACGCTCAGAGACCATTGCATGTCATCAACATTCAGGTACTTGGCAGGTGACTCATATTTGCGATGGTCTCAGCATCCCAGGGCCATGGGATCACCTTTTGTGACCTTCTGACCAGCAACGAAGATAAATTCACTTAACCCTGTTACTAAATTAACGACTTTAGTGATTCACTCAACAACTATGGCAAGAAATGTCGCAAAATGGGGCCAAAACTCACTTAACAAATGTCTTACTGAAGGACAAAAATGTTGGTCTCAATTGCGGGCATTAGACTTCTCCAAACAATCCACATCTACTCTTGACTTTTACCTTATACTTATTTGATATATATTTATATTTCCTTATGTTTATTTTGGTCTTTTTCCCAAGCTAACATTATTTGGAAGCATCCCCATTTAGAAAACAGCACAATATATATCAAACGTGGAAATGTTTAAGTTTTGTAGACTGTCTCCCAGGCTAGGGATTTCTTTCGGGTTAGTTGGTTGTGGTTTGGCAAGGCAGTTTAGTTTGGCAAATTCTATTAGGTGTATGCAAATATAGGGTTGAATTTGATCGGATTTTGCTGTATTGTCTCAGGCCTGACAAATACAAAATAAAGCAAAATATTTTAAATTGGACGTATTGAAGATATTTTTGAACAGCGGACCCAGAAGTTACTTTTAAGAGTGCCTACCTTTATAGACAGAATGCTTAAGGTGTAATTAATGGAAGAGGAACAAGTTGTAACTGACAAGATTGAGACTGGTCTGAAACTGGATTTAAAAATAACAGGCTGCAAGCATGCTACCGAAAAATATGTTACATTGGACATACAAAAGAAACCGACTTATGTCTTAATTAAAAGAGATAAAAATAAACCAAGAGAGTGACCTGTGTAATTTTCCTATATTGGATTCACAAAAGAGGCTTATTAAGCTTTGAAGAATTTTGTGAGAAGGGATAAAGGAAAAAAGGAAAAGAAATCAAGTTCTAAGCCATTATTTGAAGGGCCTAAGGATCAAGATTGTTAAAAGGAATATAAAGTCAGTTAAAAAAAAGATACATTATTTCTAGTAGTCCTCAATGGATTTATTGTCCTGGCTTATATACTCATGTTTCTAGGCTTTCCTCAATAATGTTCTATTAGATCTGATGTTTCCGTATCAGCTGTCAGTAACCTAATAATGAAAACTGTGTTCTCTACATTCCTTTATCTCTTTAGGTTAGGCAAGTAGGAACTGAAAAACTTACCTTTTTTGATACCTCACTATTGTGGAATCCATTTTAAGAATCATATTTCTACATTGTAAATGTCCAAAATAATCATTTAAGTACTACATTTTTAAAACTATATAATTTTTGTGGGTTGTACAAGAGTCAAAGCAATTGTTAGTAAATTTTTCAATTGCAAAACTTTCTTGTGAAGAGTCATGAAAATGATTTTCCAGATATTATTTTATAGCTTTATAATTACTGTCTAATTTTATTATTCACCTATTGACTAGCAATCTTGGGAGAATTAATTCTTTTTCTTCAACACCTTCATTCTCCTTATCTCCACCTCTTATGCTTTCCCATATTTACATCTCATCTCAGTCGCTATACTGGGAGAGAGACTACCAAGAGCAGCTTACAGTCTCTAGAAATTTACAACCTAAAGCAGTTTAAGATAAATTGATTTAAGACAAGGAAGTACCTTTCTTTCTTGAGTTTAGCAAATGAGAGTAGCTAATGAATCCATGTTTTATGAATTACACAAATAGAAGCAAGTTTATTCTTCTCATAAAATGGATTAATTAGTTTAGAATTTTCTTTGGCTTCACACGTCCCTGAATTTATTAAGGAAGAAAAGGAGCCTTTCTTCCAGTGTTTCTCTCATATGATGGCTAGAAGGGCTCCTTGTGTTCCAAGTAAAATAGGAGATTGTCTTTTCTAGGCTGAAAGAATAAAAATGTAATTTCTCCCAACACCTTTCTACATTAGAATAAAGGCACTGCCTTTTGCTGCACGTGAGATGGATGGGGAAGATTGCATTCTGCATACAGCAGAGTGAAAAGTAACTAGTACGTATATATGTGATATTTGTTCTTCTGGAAATGGAACAGCTTGTAAAAGTGTTGAGAGTTTCGTTTCCCACTTAATCATGCCCAATCTCTAACCAGACCATGTTGTTTTCGGATAATTTGATGTTTTGAAATAAAGTTTTCAAATTGAAAGTGGTCTATTCAGTTGTGTCCTAAGGATGGTCTAGCCCTGAAAAAGGCTGCTTTGCATAGAATATGTCTGAAACGCCTCAGTGGTTCGGTGTATTTTTTTCTGAAAAATGCCAGTCTGTGCACTCTTGAATGTTCTGTACCTAAATTAGTGAATTTTCCACATCCCTAGTGGAAGGTTTGGCAATTCACTTGAAACCTCACAGTTTGCCCGGAGAAATCTGGCATTCTGCATTCGGCCAGAATCAGGACATCTTCAGGCTTGCGTTAGTAGTTGTGGCTTCAGCATTTCTGTTTGTTAAAATTATTAGTAGTTATTCTGCTTCAAATTTAACTATTTTATTATTATTTTGTTTTATCAAAGAAACGGAAGTTTTTAAAGTGAAGAAATCAAGTTACAGCAAAAAGATAGTAAAGCTGCTTAAGAAAGAATATAAAGAAGATCTTGAAAAATCAAAGACAAAACCAGAAACAAATTCTTCAGCAGATGGTAATCTTAGTTATATATTTTAACTGTCCATATTAGAAAGTTGCATGAGGCAAATATATATATATATATATTGCTTTGCGCTTAGAACTTTCTGAATTGACTGTGTTCTCAGCAGTTCCTCTATAAACTGCTGCAATGTTCTGGTATTCTGACCATTGGAAACAATTGTAATTTAGTATTAATTTTTTGCTCCCTTGCTTTTTGACCTCAGTGCTCCAAGAATAACTGGGCTGATAATCGATATTCGGTGGTAAGAGCCAATGTGCTTGCAGAAAAGCTAATCACATGATTTTTAAAAATTACTCCCAAGATAGAATTGTAACAGATTGAAATCTTTGTTACCTTGTGTTGTTTCTCTATTCATGTTAGGTTACCATATAGGTATTTGTTGTCTCATGGGACTTTGAACTTTACAAGACAGGAAAGACAGGAATATGTTCATGACGTACTGGCAATATTTTTAAAGAATGATGTTTCTTCTTAAAAGAGACAACAAATAAAATTTAGAATTCCAAAATACAAAAAAAAAAACATATTTTGAACATTTAAAATAAAGTTTTACAAACTTTAAAACTCTTACAGTTCAATGTTTAAATTGTTTAACCAAGTAGGTATTGACCACATGGGGTCATAGTGTCTGGGTTTTTTCCATTGCATCAGTAAAGAGCCAATTCAAGTGCTAAGTGTACACATTTCTTTAAACCAATCTTTGAAATTTGGTGTCTTTCTGAGAACATGTCTTTTTCTTGTAATCCACTCACAATAGAGCCATTGTTCATTGGTTGATACATTCCAAATTTTAGGACTATTCAATTTAATGACATCTTGAAATATTAGTTCCTTTGATAAACCCTTATTAAGAATACTAAGAATGTATCATCCAAAGACATATGCCTAATTTATATATGGTAACATGCCTTCAAATATCTGTGTAAACAGCAACTATACAGTTTTTTTCACCATTGGAATAGATTTGAGGCTAAATATGATAAACAGAATCTTTTTTGTAATCTTTATAATATAGCATTGTTTTAAATAATAATACACTATTATGGAGGAATAGCAATAGAAAAGATAAACAATATGTCATCAGCTGTAGTATCATTATTTGCAGGGACTCTAGGATTTCTTTTCTATTTTTAATGTATATAATTTGAAAATATAATGCACACCCATTCACAAATAAAATTGCTTATGGGTTGGATCCATGTTCTGCTGTGCATTGGAAATCTCCCATTTGCTGTCCTCAACTTGGAGGGTTGGGAAATAAATTATAAAAGAGAGAACACTTTGAATAAATTATAAAGCAAACTGTATTGCCTCTTAATTGGGCACAGTCAAAGATATTTCTACTAATTAATTCCTGTTGCATCCCATCTGTCAAAATCAACTGAATCTCTTGCCCTAACTTTTCTGCAAACATAATAGGGCAGAGGTCTGATTCTACAATGGGGAGTAGGTGAAATTTTTGGTTACCCTGGTGCATGAAGGCCCAAACAAATTTTCAGGCGAATTGAAATATGTTTGACAATTATTTCACTTTTGTAAAAACATATTTTAGTGAACACATATATGCAATGTATGTTGTTTTAATGAATTGAATTTAATGCTTCACTGTAATAAAGTGAAATGTGTAAATGTAGTATGTATAACTTTTCCATAAGGAGTTTTGAAGTACTGAATAGATTTGTTTCACAGATGAACAAATTGCAGACAAACTAGGACTTTTTAAAGATACAGTTCAGGAAGATGGGGCTACAAATAGTGAACAAGGAGAAGAAGAAATGGAAGTTGAAAGTGAGAAGGAAGAAGAAAAAGCAAAAGCTGCAGGAGCATTTTCCACTGCCTTGTCATCTCTAAATGTTCTTCGTCCAGGTTAGCCCATTTCCCTTCATATTTTTCAGGGGTTGAATAATTCTTCCTTGCTTGACAGGTAAAAATAATGTAAATCAATACAGACTACCTTAATAGGGTACTTTTAGAAGAGATACTTGTTTCCAGAAAATAAGTGTTTCTAGTTCTGTTGGTATGTTTTTCTGTGGTTTTGTCCATTTTGACTAATTTAAAAAGCTAAATATTTTGTTTCTTACTTTGGATACATTTAGTTGTAATTCTGTATACAGTGGTACCTCAGTATTCATCATTAATTGGTTTTGGGAGGCACATTGAATACCAGAAACTATGAATACCAAACAATTTATTCCCAGAAGGAACAATGTAGTGAGTCATAAGGCAGCCGAAATTTTTGTTTCTATTCAATGTGTTCAAAATTATTTTCTTAAACCTTTTGTTTGATACTAAATTTTCTATTTTCAGATCTGATATGTTATCTTTTTTATGACTGTTTATTCTGCAATATTAAAATAATTTTAGATCTTTACATATCCACAGAATTGCAAATAGTGTATTAGTTCTCTGTTGAAAGAGAATGAGGGAATGACTGCTGAGGCAGAAAGCAATGGGAGGGGACAAGCTGACCGGCATTTGATGCCAGTCATGTTGATAGAAAAATTATACTGACTTTTCTGATTTTTCTGATGCAGATTTTCAGTTAGAGTTGCAGTGTAACAAGTAGACCCCAAATGTAACTGCTAACTTAAAACATAACTCTTTTCCTCCTCAGGAGAAATTCCAGATGCTGCTTTTATTCATGCTGCTAGGAAAAAGCGCCAAATGGCTCGTGAACTTGGTGACTTTCTTCCCCTTGATAATGATCCTGGTAAAGGGCGTCTTGTGAGAGAAGATGAAAACGATGCCAGTGATGATGAGGATGATGATGAGAAGCGAAGAATAGTTTTTTCAGTGAAAGAGAAATCCCAGAGACAAAAGATTGCAGAGGAAATAGGTAAACTTTTAAGAAGAGAAAAAAAGATAAATGAAATTACATTTCGAATATTTGCTATGACTATGTAAAACATTTGACATAAAAATCAAATAGGGTGCTTATACAGGTAGACAGAAGAAACATTCTTACTCTTCTGAGCTACTTTCCAAAAGCTTTAATCTATTTCTGAATGGATTATTTCATACTTGGTGATTTGATCAAGCTGGGTCACCAAAAATTGATTGAAATTTCCAGCCTTAACAGCAGATCATATTTGACAATACATCGGAATCAAACTATTCAAGGTTTGATTTTGGTCTTCTGTTTTCTAATCATGGTTTGTGATATGGCTTCCTCCTGCACTGTTCACCTGTCAACCTGTTAGATCCAGATACGAAATTAATTTTTTTCAGTGACTAGGATGAAATTGGATTATCTGTAGACCACTCTCAAAGAACTGGCCAATTAGGGAAGTTTTAAACTTTTCCTTTGAATAGTTACTCCTCCTGAATTTGAATGGTAGATCTTAGAAGACACTAATGGTGATGGTTTATTATATGGAATCCCAGGTGTTCAGTAGACTAAAAGACAAGAATCTTATCGATTTGCAGAATTATCTTGCTGATTACACACACACACACACACACACACACACACACAGTGGAACCTCGGGTTGCGAACACTTCTTTTTGTGACCAAATTAGATGACAACCAGAATTTTTCAGAACAGTTTTGCTTCTGGTCGCGAACAGTTCTTCGATGGCAACCAAGCAAACCTGAAAATTACCGCGGCAATTTCTTCTTCTACACCATTTTTTTTTGTCCATGCATGCACAGACGGTCATGCTTCCGGTTGCAACCATAGTCCTAGAATGGATTGCAGTCGCAATCCAAGGTTCCACTGTATACACCCATACACACACACACACACACACGCACACACCCCTCTTTGGATCCTGTCATCAATGAATTTACAATTAATAACTCAATTTCAATAACTTGATGTACTGGTTGTAAAATATGACTCTGTATAACCTGAAGTAACTACTGGGGCATACTGAGCAAGACAGGTCAGAAAATTGATTGAATTGAAGCATGGGGTGTATATTAATGACGATGTAGGCTAATAGTGAAACATAGCTTGTCAAGGATGAACAGTCTTCCTGGTTAGTCTTCCTGGTTTCTATGACTAATTTTAAAATCACTATAATTTCTTTATACTTGAGCATTAAATTGTGATTTAAAACTCTTATAAAATTTATTGGTTTTGTCTATTTAAATGTTAAAACGTGCATTGTGGTATTGGAAAAATTAGAATTCTGGTGGTTAGCTGAATTCCGTTTCATCAGGTTATTTCATATAGAATTGAGAAAGATTTAAGTCAGTGTTCTGCACAGTGTAGAATATGAGTAGAAGTTCTAAAACAGAAATCCTCAAGATTTTTGATAAATATCTTTGGACTTTTTAGAGTCTGGCTACTTGTGGGGACTTGTTAACATAACAATTGCTAGATGAGAGAGAACTAGTAATAAATGACAGATTTACCAAAATGCAGCCTATCACCTTTCCTGATTTCTTGTCCCTATTTACTCTTCCCCTTCTTAGATAGTTATGCATACTTTGAAACAAAAGAACTGCATCTGCCTACCATTTTTATTTCAAAGTTTATATGAGGTATTTAAAAAAATAATTCAGATGAAGCAGGAAGCCAGATATGCCCTGAGTAGATGTCTAGAAGCATCTCTAGGCACCAGGCCATTCTTGATATTTCTCCTTGAAAAAGAATCACAGAGGCAATAAAGCTTTCAATATTTAATTCTCATAGTTGTACAAGTCTGTATTATATTTACCTTTGTGTTTAGGTATTGAGGGAAGTGATGATGAAGCTCTGATTGCTGGAGAACAGGATGAAGAATTAAGCCGGTGGGAGCAAGAACAGATAAGGAAAGGCATTAATATACCTCAGGCACGTATTCAAATATCTTAAGATTTGGAGCAACAGATGGTAGTTTTAGCAATAGCTGATCCAAGCTATTTGCCAAAGCAAAAGAGATAGTTGTGAATGAATATATGTAGCAGAGGGATGAAAACTTAAGACAGACCAGTTCATTTCACTCCGTCTCTTCTGGTTAGAGTTGGGCTTGCCTGAACATAGAGGTTATTGAAATCAAAAAGTAATTCACTAAATGAAATTAACTCAGATTTTGTTAAATTGTATCATGTCAGATTTCCATACAATACAATTAATAAGAATGCTATAGGCTCAACCAGTTGCAATATATTAAGATCATATAAAGCAATAAATGTAGACGATACAGTACAATGTGTTGTAACTTATCATTCTAGTTTAAATGCTATCTGTCTGTCTATCCATCCATCCATTCAGTATTGGGTGGGTACATGTATTCAATATTGTGTAAGTTGAAATGATGAGTTGCTTGATGATGCAAAAAATCACTATATAAAGATGTTCCTGCTAATCTTGTTAGAATGGAATTTTGAAATAGATTTTTTTTTTCAAAACAAGCTGATATAATGAGATAAATGCCACACTAATAAGTTGCTTTACTGTCTTCAAAATAATTGATTATTAGATTTAATGGGTTTTTACTCTAATATTTTGTGCTAAATGTTTACTGTCCAGTACTAATTCTCTAGCATAAGAATCAGCAATTGGTGATCCCTAGACTAGTCTACTGGTGAATGCCATCTGCTGCTTATATACCAGTACACCAGCAAGAAACATAAATGGTACATGTGATAGCAGTTCACTTTAGGAAACTTAGGTAGTACAACATTCTTCACCCTCATCACAGTGATACCTCTGTAAACTAATTGTTCACAAAGAATACACATACAACTGAAATTTTGAAGTTGTTGCTGCTATTTTTATGCTTTCTGCTTCCTAGTGATTGTTTTTAGGTGTTGCTTTCTTTGATATGTAGTGCTTTACTCAAGGAACATAATTAGATTGGTAATTTTTCACAATAACTACTAAAGTTGTTTTTTGACAAATAATGGTTTGTAATAGAGTTTACAGAATGCCAGTTTTTATGTCTGTATATATCATATGTTTCGTTCCTGTAGGTTCAAGCAAGTCAGCCTGCTGAAATGAATAATCTCTACTACCAGAATGCTTACCAGACAATGCCTTATGGTTCATCTTATGGCATGCCTTACACATATGCTGCATATGGATCAGAGACAAAGTCTCAAAAAACAGATAACATAATATCTTTCAAAACCCCCAGTAATGAGATGGCTCCTGTTACTATTGATTTGGTAAAGAAACAGTTTAAAGACAGGTAGGGCAGATCAACTTATTAAAATGTAAGACCTGTCCTCTAGGTTTCAGTCTGGGGGGCAGATCAGAATTTCATCAACAGAAGCCCACAGACTGGATCCTGCATTGTAAAACGTAAGAAAAACTGTTCAATAGGCTATTTGCATTACTTTTCTGGAAATGAAGCTTGAACCATTTTGAAGACTGGTACATCATCTGTTCTTGGAAAAATAATTTTGTAACTAAGAAAAATGAAAAAAAAAAAATCTGATGTTTTCAACTTGCTATATAATGATTGTATAAGAATTTAAGCAAATAAAAAAGTTTTAAATTCTATATTATTTTAATTGGAAATTCAAAATACTGTATAGTACACTAAATGTTTGCTTATGCTTACGAATATACAGTATAACAAGTCCCTTGTTATAGTTTAAAAGTGAACACAATTAGTAAATATATATATATATATATATAATGAATGAAAGGTTAGCTATTTGCAAACTTGATGTTAATCTCCAAGAAATTGCCTTTCATGATTTTTGTATGCTTCTCTAATTTCTACTGAGACCATCAGGAATTAAGGGTCCTGAGTACTATGCCAAAGTGATACTCCTGTAGGTAAGATATCATATGAGAAAGTAATAGAAGTAGCCAAAAAAATGTTCTGTCTTTATTTAAATCATTTAGTTTATCTAAGCATTTAAACCATGAGCTGAGAGAAAATCACTGTCAAAAATCACGGTTGCATCCATCATTACTGAGCATAGGTGACAGCAAAGTAGTAAATATGAAGGATATTTGCTGAGTGGAGATAGAACACAAATGTCTTGAATGCCTATGGAGATTCTCAGTCATCCAGGTCATGATTGTCCCAAAGTTGTTTTTTCAAAAGGCAACCGGACTTTTTTTTTCTTTTTCTTGAAGACATTTTGCTTCTCATCCAACAAGCTGTTGCCTTTGGACAAAGCATCTTTGAACAATAGCTGTAAAATAGGAGATATGTTATATTCTATCATGAAACTATAGTTTTCCTGTGTCAGAAAGCTCTTCCCATAATTAATTACTCATTTTTGGGGTCTTGTTTTATTTTTTTAAAATAAAATAGAATAAATCATAAAAGTTAATTAAAAAGAAAAATGCAATCACAGCAAGATAAATTATAAAAAAAATAATCTTGAAGATCCTAGAAGATTCTTCATATAAAAAGTTGTGATTATAGCAACCTACATAAGCAAAAAAAAAAAAAAACAAAAAAAAAAATTGTAATAGAAAATAAGGAATGTGTTTTGTCTCCTGAAAGCAAACTGTGTTATTGTTAGGATTGTTTCTTGCTGTACCAAAAAACAAAACAAAACCCAATGTGTATATACTGTAACTGTGTTTTTGGATATAAACATGTGTGTTCTTGACCTTTAGATTGGAGTCACTGAAAGAATTTCACAAAGCGAATCAAGAACAACACGAGAGGCATCAGCAAAACCGTGATGATTCTACCAAGATAATTGAAAGATTAGAAGGGTCTTCTGGGGGTATTGGTGAACGGTATAAATTTCTGCAAGAAATGCGAGGGTATGTCCAAGACTTGCTTGAGTGTTTCAGTGAAAAGGTAAGAATGCAAAATATATCCCATCTTTTTCAGTAACGAAGTTTACTCTGTGCTCAAACATGTTGTCTTATACATGCCAGTGAAAGCACATGTTTGAAGATTTGGCTTTAAAGATGGTAAAAAAAGCATAGTAAGTTAACTTTTGGAATAGTTCTTGAAATAGAACTTTTGATACGAGCTTTATAATTCTTAGAAAATACCTTCTTCCAGAAAACCGTTGTGATTCACAATTATGCTCCAATACTTTTCAAATTACATTTTGCAGTTTTTGAGGCATTACAAGGTAATTACAGGAAAACATTGGATCCAAATAAATGGTGTATGCACCAATTATTTGCAATTAGAATTAGGTTAACATTGAAACCAGCCCAACTTCAGTTTCATGCTGATTTCACATATTGATTTCCAGGGAGAGTTACAGATTGTAAAATATACAATTATTCTGTGCCTCTTGTTCTGAAGCCTGTCAAATACTGTTCCACACTTCCAATACTTACGTGTGTATATACAAACACACACACACACTGTTTAATTGATGTTGTCATTGAAGGATGCCTAACTGTCAAAGTTCACAACTATTTGCACACTCTGTAAGTCCTATTACATATCATTTACTTCTGAATAAATAGGCATAGGTTTGCACTGTAAGCTTAAAAAGCCAAAAACTAAATTAAAATTATTTTTAAAGAAGTCCTGCTATGGAGATAATTGGAACCTGACTAAAACTTTAAACTGTCTATGCAGAGCGCTATCTAATATCATGTGCACTATAAAGTGTATAATATATATTGTACACACACAAACAGACATTTACGTGATGGAATAAGTAGCTATAGATAGGTAGTCCTTGACTTACAAATGGTCAAAGGTATGGGGGACTGCCCCAAAAGCTAGTTATAACTCAGTTCCAAATTTATGGCCACTTAAGTATCCCCACAGTTGTTCACCTTTATAACCGATCGCAGGAATGCTGTAGTGCTCTCCTGTCTTATCGCCCCTTCATCTCCCACACTGGATGCCACAGACCTGGGATTTGCTTTCCACCCAACGGGGCCTCACACTCTCTTGTTCACCTTTCAAAGGATTCCAGAGCCCGGGTTAGGGAAGGAGGACAGGCTGCTCTGTTGCTGGAACATTGCAGAGCTCATGTTAGGAAAGCATAGCAAGCAGTTCTGTTGCTGGGCTATGCAGGACAATCCTGGAAGCAGACCTCATTTTCCGAGCAGCTGCATTGAATTGTGGCTGCTCAGAAAATGGCCCCTTCTGGGGTTGCATTTTATGGATTAGCAATGGAATGACCTGCCCTTCTTCCCTATTCTGAGATCCAGAGATCTTCGAGAGGTAAATATGTGATGGATAACATAGGGAGGAGTAGGGTGTGAGGCCCAAGAAGATGGGAAGTCCAAGGCTTAAAGGGACCCCAAGGGTCAGGAAGCAGAACACTGGGTACCTCACGGGGTACCCAGATGGGAATAGCTTTAGAGGCCCGAGACAGAGCTTGGAGTAGGTGTCCCAAGGCCTCCTTGGGGCTTCTGAGGCACCCCATGGTCTGCTTAATGACCCACACATTTGTTTTAACAATTGCATTAGGGAGAGCAGGGATGGAGTTGTAAATGAGGCAATCACATTCATTTAACAGCTGTCATATCAGTTTGTAATGGGCAGATTCCATTATAGTCATGAATCAAGGACTAGCTACTGAAAATCTCATCTTTTTTATTATACAAAAAGTATAATATATATTATACTTTAGTACATATTGTTTCAGTTCTTTTCTAATACAAAATGGAAAATTAGTTTTCATCTTTGTGTGTCAAATCTAATACTTTAATTTTCTTTGTGTAAATTACTTCACAGATATTTTCACAGTTCCTTACTGGAAATGCTTGCACTACTAAATACTTGTGCAATTGCTAGCTGAATATGTAACTGCTATTGGAAGATTTCTTCATACTTAGTTTTAAACTGAATATTGCTGTAATTTGATTATGTGTTACTGCAGCATACTGTTTAAACTGCTAAATATAAACATTTTTTATTCCAATAATACACAATCAAAATAAGAATTTCTTAATTTTTATCTCTGTGTATTAAATATATTTTTTTCTGTTGAAATTTAATATGTTATGTGCATGGACAGTTCAGTTTAATGTTCGTACTTAGGGGGAAGTATATCAATGAAATATTTAAATCACAACAAGCTTAACAATAACAGAGAGTAAATACCACTTTAACAAAATAAAAACATGGCTTTGACATAAGCATACAATTTGCAAATCATTTCTCTTTAGTCCAAAAATAGGAGGACTCTCCCCCCCAAATTTCCATGATTTCTCTTTTCTTATTTCTGTTCTGAACTCACATGTATTTGCTGTTAGAAAACATCTTGAAAACTTTTGGAGAAGACTTTTGGGAAATTGAGAAAGAAAGAAAGAAGACAAATACTCTGTTAATGAAAAATAGATGCACCTCTAATATAATTTATAAGATTGGTTTAGAAAGTAAAACCATTCATACAGCAGGAGCCAAAATAAAAACAAAGCAAAGAAAATTTGAACAGGCAGATCTGTTTTTTTTTCCTTACCAGATACTCAGTATATATTGATGTTTCTGTTTGAACATGTATATAATTATGGTATATTATAAACACTTATTTTTTTCCCCAAGGGGAGAATTAGTAGGATTATTTAATTTTGCCCACATCCAGATTTATATTATATTAATTTTACAATTATTAATCTAAATTATGGATTTTTGAAAGAATTATTTTGCTGTAATTTAATGTTCAAATCTTTCCAGAAAATAAGGAGACCCTGTGCATAGTAAAAACTATCTTCTATAGGAGCATCTGCTAAACAAACTTATTGTAGTTACCAGTAGAATTTACACTGGTCCTGAAAAATATGTATGATTTAGACTGTTTCAGTTATACCTTTCTTAGATAAGTTCTTTATATATCACAACACTGTTGTGTATTATAGATTGTGAGGTGCATGTGGGACAGAGTTTTTTCTAAAAAAGAATTTTTGTAGGTAGAACTATAGTGGGTTATGCATCAGTTGTGCTGCTCTCTTTTTTTTGTGCCCACTTTGCATGTTTCTTTCATTTTTTTCTTATTTGGATTGGCAAAATTCAAATTGAGAGGCTAGGAAAAAAATATTAAATTATTTTTGAATTTTATTCACACCAAATCAGCAAGGACAATGTTTGTGAAAATATAAAGTATATCCATGTGATTTGGATTATTTGATAACCTGTTTTAGTAGATCATATTTCAATTTCTTGTGGCAACATAGATAAGAATAGACTACTAATACTAAAATAGTATTACAGCAACAGTGAAATCCTGGATCTAGGGTGAACACTAGATTTGGTAGATACTTTTTGATTGATTGTAATTGTAAGTGCTTTTTCGAGGTTTTGCACTTATTCAGGTTTCTTAAAAATATTTTCACTGGTTCACAACATATATTTCTATTTTTTTTTTGTTAAAAAACGTTCACTAATTTAAAAAAGTTCCTTGTCAGAGTTAGAAATTTTCTGTTTTCAAATTCATATTTTACCCATTTTTTTGAGTAAAATGTCTTTGCTACTTTCTCTTATAACAGAATCCTTGTGTGTTAATAGCTTAATTAACTTTCAGAATCCTGGTATTGAATTCTATATTATATAAACAGTGTTACTAATGTATCAGTTAACATTGATGTAACTATTTGAAAATATTGGTTGGGTTAAATTGGCAGAAGAGAAGAAACAGAATAGATTCAAATAACAACAGATGGGCTTATAAAATTTTAAATGTTGCTGTATGGAAATTGAAGAGAGTATTGTTTCCCTATAAAAACCTACAGAAATACATTCTAATTTTCTCAGCATCGTTGGCAATTTTCAAAAAACTAAGAACTTCATATTTTCCCTATCCTTTTATTTTTAAGTTCTATTATTGAAAGCTCATTTCAATATATTGAAACTTTTTTTTTCATACCAGTAGTGACGTACATAGAAATATCTGTTTCCAAATAAATTTCACTAAAAGAAATAACTTTCAAATAAGTTTGTTCAAATCCAGGTATGTAGTCATGTCAACTTTTAAGTAAACTTCCTTCAGTAGTACCCGAAAGCTGCTGGTAAACATCCATGCATTTTTGGGGAACACTAGAGCTTTGCCTTTTCTTTCTCCTGGGAATTCTTTTATTATTTCCCAGTGTCATCTACAATCTTTAGGATATCATGTTGGTCTCCCATCCAAGTACTAACTAGACCCATCCCTGTTTAGCTTTTTGAAAATCAGCTATGCGCAGCTATATCTCTCTAGGCATGGGTATATTGTGAGAAAAGACCAGGGAAGTGACAGAATTGATAGATCATGTTGCTCAATTTGAGGTAGTGAAACCTGATAGGAAAACTAAATCCGGGTAGGAAACTGATAGGAGACATTTCAGAGTATTTGGAAATCCCAACAGGCTTCTATAATGGTTTTAGTTTTAAAATCATGAAAAAGCTTCTAAGAGACTTACATTTTATTGTGGTTTGCAATCTACTTAGTCATCTGAAAAGAACCTGTCCATGTTTATATAAAGAAGCTTTGGAAACAGTGTTTTTTCTTTCTTTCAGACTATTCCAAATTAACCATTGTTCCAATGTGGCAGATATTGAGGGCAAGCTAATGAAATTGTGTGGTAGCTTTATAACTTTTCTGTATGTTTTTTGTACAGGCTTGATAGTTTGCTTCTAGTTAGGGAGCTTTAGTTTTGTTCTTTACTATTAAATATTCAGTAATTAAAAGTTAATAGGAAACTGAAAGTGCAGCAGTACACTTTGGAATAGTGTGGCATCCCATACAATTAAATACTTGAAAATATTTTTATTACGAAGTATTATATTTTTACAGGTGCTCCTGATTAACGAACTTGAAACAGCAATGCACCAGCTGTACAAACAGCGCGCCTCCCGCCTTGTCCAAAGACGACAAGATGATATTAAAGATGAATCTTCGGAGTTTTCAAGCCATTCAAGTCAGTCCATCTTGAAGGTTTTTATTATTCATTAAACAACCTTGTTTACATAGTTCAGTTATAATATAAAGTGAAATTTCAAAGTATGTCTTGGTTTAAATCTGATAAAAGAAAATCAGATTAAAGAAATCTAGCTCATACTTTTAAAGTACTTTTCCCAGACTTTCTTGCCGTGGCTAAAAATAGGAAAAATTATTTACAAATTAGTAACTTATGTGACAATATACCATCTTACTACTCCCTGAAAGTATTTCACAGAAAGTTATCTGAACCTGAAAATGATTAAGGCTATTCTGCTAGCAGTTTTCGTTTCAGTAATACTGGTTTCTGATGCTTTAAAACAAACACAAAAGGTACAGTTTGTCATATCTTCCTATTTTAAACATTAGTGCTAACCTGTTTTGTTTTAAATAAATTCATATTACACAATTTTTCTTGCACTAATTTATAAAATAAATGCTGCAAAATTTCCATTAAAAATGAACGTAACCTCTCCTATGAAATCTCATGCTTTCATTGGTAGAAGACTATGTTTGTTGGGTAAACTATATTCCTTCAAGAATCCTCCCACATTTCAGACATTTTATTACTTTCACACATGGCAAACATCAGATATCAAGTTGAATTCTGTTTCAATACTAATTGTCTTAACTTCAACTGAAAATGTATTAATTCCGGTTGCTCATCAATAGTATTCAGCAGGATATGGAAAAATCTATTCTTTATGAAAACGTTGAACACTATTTAAAAATACAAACACTAAAAAAGTATTGTTAAATATTCTGTTCACCATTTAGAAGTTCTAAATGGTGTGATAAAAGATTTAAAATTTTACTGATAATATTGAAGAAAGTCCAATATTTTTAGTATCCATGCAAAAATAAAATTCATGACATCATTTGTTCTATACAAGAACGGGGTAAGAAGTAGTATAATCAAATTTAATAGATGAATGCATGTATGTTAACATTTGTTAAACATCTATGAAACTGCAACACACACACACACATACACACACACAAATATTACTTTTCCTTACAAAAGATGCAATCCTAATTTCAGTGTTTGTACTCTTACAGATAAAGCATTGATGGCACCAAACCTTGATTCTTTTGGGCGAGATAGAACCCTTTACCAAGAACATGTAAAAAGACGGACTGCAGAAAGGGAAGCTAGAAGGTAGTAAAGCATTACAGAGGTTTTAAAGGGTGATTCTTACATTCTAGTGGTATCTGGGTATCTGGAGAATGATACTTCCCATTGTCCTTGACCAACTACCATCACCTCCAGACAGCATAGAAGTTTTAAAAGATAGGAATGGCTGCAGATTCTTCTCCGTTATAGTATATAATACATGTTGATGTGTAAATATTCCAAATGGTAATTTTCTTTAAAAAGTATTTTTCCTTTTGAATTTGCAAAATGGGAGATAAATGCACAATCAAAATTATATGTCAGTAGTCTTTTAGTTGGATTACTGTTTGGATCATGCGCAGAATAGTAGTGAACTAATTCCTAGGGATGGAAAATTACAGGTTAGTATATGAACAGTCTCAGACTAAAAGAAAAGGGGGAAATAATAAAATATTCAAGGTTTATCCCTGCATAACAGGAACACATAATCTTTTTGTGAGCCTTTGATTGATATCCTAGAGCACACTTCAGAATACTAGAATAAAGAATTAGACAGAATCATGTCAAAATTTATTTTTAATTAAATTTCCATTGAGAATAGCTTTAAAAATCTGATTTGGTGGCTACAAAGCTTTGGCTGAAGGTTGTATATTGCATTTCACTTTATAGTGGATGGGTTAAGTTTATTTCTGCTTCAGATGAAAAGGGTAAGGCATATTTGTCCATACAGTATTATGCATCCTTTGTTACTAGGAAGTTACTTCAATTCAGCAACCATTCATTTATTCTTTGTATCAGAGCTCGTCGTAGACTTGCCAGAGAGCAGTCTGGGAAAATGGCTGATCACCTTGAGGGTCTTTCTAGTGATGATGAAGAAACCTCAACAGACACAACAAACTTCAACATGGAACGAGGTTAGACGATTGATCTTAATGATAGAAATATTAACTTCTGAAACACAGTTTTGTAGAAAACTTTTGAGCAGATTAATGTCATGGTTTAATATAAGGTCTGTTGGAAAAAAAGTTAAATTCTAGTTTACTATTATTACTTTAGCTTTAGGTTAAGGTAATAACTATCCTTGACTTGCTGAAATATAGGATAGTGTAGGATATGCTTTTATTTTCTTTCATAAGTGATAATTGCAGGGAGCTAACAGTACTCGTTCTTTTTGGGAATGTGTCATAGTTCAAAAAATATGGTAGTTTGTTAAAAATATATTTGCTTAGAGAAGTTAGTTAGAACCTTGCTTCCTTGAGATAATCTTTCAGATCATTATATCATAATTGTTTGACAAGTAATCACCCATACAAAACAAATCACAAGATCTGTTCACAAATTTAAGCAGGCAGGTTAAATATTTGTTTAAAACCAGCTAGGAAAAAAACCTCCAAAAATATAATTAAATAAATATAGAGAAGCTACCGTGTTTCTCATATAATAAGGCCGGTTCTTATTTTTTTTTGAGCCCCGAAAAAATGGCTAGGCCATCTTTTCGGGGGTGACTTAATTTCCCCCCCTCCTTGCATCTTCGGGCAGGCGGGTGGATGTTGATCTCGGCGTTGGTGGGGCATTTTGTATCAGGGTCAACGCAGGCAGCACCATATCCGGGTGTGCAACAAAAGTACTTCCTGACAGCAAGCCCCCCCACCATTTCCCCCCCATTTCGCATGTTTTAATATAGGCCTTAATTTGGGGAGAGGGGCTTAATTTCATTTCATGCCTATAAAACATGCTGGGACTTCCTATTGGGGGAGGCCGTATTGTTGGAGAAACAGGGTAGAATAAAGCATTCAAATTTATAAGAATCTTTTGTACATTTTCCTTACTTGTTGATTGGTGATGAGGATTAGTTCAATTTATAGACCTGACCATATGGTCAACTTCCAATTAAAACATAGATAATGCCAAAACAAAAGCAATCATGCAAACAATGCAAAACAAAAATATGGAATGCTTCATGAGTTTGAAATAGTTAATATATTATGATGAACTCTTTCTAAAATAATTTTTATAACTTTATATCCTAGATCGCATTTTGAAGGAGTCAAGCAAAGTTTTTGAGGATGTATTAGAAAACTTTTCCTCCATTGATTATATTAAGTCACAATTTGAAGCCTGGCGTTCTAAGTATTTGTCTTCATATAAGGATGCTTATATTGGCCTTTGCTTACCCAAGCTGTTAAATCCTTTAATAAGACTTCAGTTACTTACCTGGAATCCTTTGGAGGTACAAGCAAGTTAAAAGTGTATTTAGTCTGTAACAAGGTAGAATGTTAAGTATAAATTAATGTTATAATCATATGAAATGATACTTAATTGACAATTAGTTTCTCTTGAGCATTAGACTGGGTCTATAGTATATATTTTTGCTTTAATGCTGATGTGCCATTTTTAAAGTATCATTTTAGTGATTTAATTACTTGATAAATGTCAACATTGTATGAGGTATAACAAGTATATATCAGGACAAGATTGGTAGCTTCTGCTGTTTCTGATTTAGATATATTAACAAAATAGTTCAGAAAAGGGGTGTGTGTGGAAGACTTCTGGCCTTCTAGATAGTGCTAAATTACAACATCAGTAGCTCAGACAAGAAGGCTGGTGATGAGGAAAGTAAGATTGTGGTGTCATAAAAAACAGAGGTGTCTTATTTCTGTGAACAAATAATAGTCTACCAACAGAATTTGATGTGCTGACATTCAGGACATCCTGAGAGTGAAGCCCACAGCCAAAAGATTTACATTGGTTTATACATCTCAAGCTTAAACACATTTTACACATGCAGCATTTATTTTTAATAGGACAAATGTCAAGATTTTGAAAGCATGCTATGGTTTGAATCCCTGCTATTTTATGGATGTGAAGAATATGATCAGGAAAAAGATGATGCTGATGTTTCACTGTTGCCTACTATTGTTGAAAGAGTGGTTTTACCAAAATTAACAGGTACTCTATAGTATTTAATTAAAATATTTATTTTTCAAAATACAATTTAATTGAATTTTGAGAAGTACTATTTTTTCTTCTTTGTTAGTGCTGGCTGAAAATGTATGGGACCCCTTTTCTACAACCCAAACATCCAGGATGATTGCTATTACCCAGAAACTAATTAATGGATATCCTACAGTAGCACATGCAGAAAACAAAAATACACAGGTGACAAAAAAATTGCTTAACTTTTTTGGATTCATGACTTTCTATATATTGCTTCAATTACTAGTATTGAATTATAATTTTCATGATGCTTCTTTATCTTCAAAGACCTAAATTCACGTATGTTCTTAGTTCACATAAAAAGAAAAAAAGAACAGTAATTTTGTGGTTTGAATCTTAACATCCATGCAAAGAAAATAGATTGCAATTTCTCTATATGTTGTCAAGATCCAGAACAAAAAACTGGGATATATATGATGTGGTGCTTAAGATACTGAATTAGGAGTGAAAAAACTCAGGTTTTAGGAAAAATCAGGTTCTAGTGCATACCCACACATGAAAACTCACTGGGTAATTGGGGTCAGTCTCTCTTAATAAAACCTGCGCAGGGTGTTTGTTGAAAAATTAGAAAGAGGAAGTGCAATGAAAAGAGAGATTCCCCCCCCC